AATGAGTCACTTTCATGACTCTAACAAATTCTTGTTCAAACACCCAGCCATCAAAGGTGCCTCTCTCTTGCTTATTTATCACCAAGCAGTCCTATAAAAAAATAAGTGAAATTACAGTTTATTCCAAAGAAAGTAAGTAGTAGCATGCATTACGGGTATTGCAAATCAAATGTCTAGAACTTATAATTTGTTTACGCCGCCATCTCATTGACTTTGGTGATTTATTACTTAGGCGGTGACATTTATTAATTTATGGTTCATAAAAACTATTACTTATTGTTAACGGCAATTATTATGAAAATTCAAATTTAGAAAAATATCTAGAAGAATATGGAATCTAAGGTTATGACAAATTGGTTGAAAGATTATGTTATGAGCCGTCAATCCAACTAAATAATATGTTATGTTCAGTTGGTATTCCTTTTTTTTTTTTTAAATGTTTTTTGAGGGTTGTAATTTTTTTCAATTAAATTTGTTTATCTTATCTGTGATAATAGGTGAGAGAAAATGATAATATATATTAAATTATTAAATAATTTAATGTGTGCAAAGAAAAGTTTTTCCCACCTGTAAAATGCAAAGTTTTTTCCATTTATAAAAGTTAGGTGAGAGAGAGATGAAATTTTTCCATTAAAAATTATGTACAACTTTATATTAAAATAAAGGGAGTCATTTTTTATATCATAGCATAAATTTTATTTTATATTTGTACATACTACGGAAACATAATCAGATTTGATTATATCAATTACTACTACAATCTATTATTTATCAACAATCACGATTTAGATACAACATTCTCACAAATATATTAATTATTGGTATGTTATTGCTAATCATTACTAATTACCTACAACCTGATAAAAGCATAGTAGACCTCCACTTGAAATTGCATTTTCTTTCTTTTCCACTAAATTTCTTATTTTACTAACGTCAACGGAACTTTCATGACAAAGTCAACATTTTTAATGGTTACACTTCGTAGTATAGGGTTGCCTCAATTACTATGCAAGTTTTACTAAATAAATTTATCTCATTAATATAATATAAAATATTTAATTATGCTTGAAAAAAGGGTTAACGTGAAAATACATTTGAAGGCTGAGTGGTTAAAAAATCTCTTACTTTATCAACTACACCTTTTGTAGTCAACATATTCCGCTAACTACATCAAAGGGATTTATCTTCACTTTACCATTAAGAAATAACGCGATTTAACTTAAATTGTAAGCAATTAAGAGAGAATCATTTTCTAAATCATTAAAATTTTTTGTGGTTGTTTATTATCAACCGTGTTAGTATATACTCTAATCTACTCATAATTAAGAATACAAAATCTTACTTAATTATCAAAGACATGTGAAGACAACTATATGACAAAGTTTTATATGAGAAAATTCTACGATATTAAAAAGATATATGAAAAAAGTGTGAAATTTTAAGATGGAGGTTAAATGAAACTCAAGTTATTAAAATGTTTATTGAAAGATGTTTTTTTGTTTATTTAATACTAAAATCAATCGTGAGACAATTAGGGTTCTTGGTCAGCAAGCTAGGCAGTAGGCCCCAGGATTTCAATACCTTTGAAAACTCATTCAGAATTAATAGTTAAAATCCACAAAATAGTATTCGATAGGTCAAAATCAAAGTTAAAATTGGTCCTACCATCTCTTCTTTTACTTACTTGAGAGCCACTGAATGAATGATTCCTAATTACTCAGATGATAATACACATTTGGTCAGCGTTTTATGTACCAATCCTCGTTTATTTCAAAAGCAATCACATTTCATTCTCATCCCCTTAATTGTTATATCAATTTGTATACTACCAATATTGTTACTTATATAGCCGTCCAGGACTCAAGAAAATAATGCAAAGTTAATTACGTATTAAAGTCAATCAAGTATATCCGAGTCCGGTCAAGTCATTAGCGTTATCTGTTTTGAGAATGGGCAAACAAGGTAGAGTTAGTAACTTTTCTGAATAATTCCTGCATATTTCAGGGAGAAGATGGAATACCCACAAGCTCAAATTATAATCTGGACTTGTTTTCGATAAGGAGAACTTTTGTGGTATTTGCAAATGAGGATCTGTGTCTTATTGGCCAACTTTTTTATTTAGGAAATAGTCTACAACACATCATATATCAGAATGACACAAGTTTTGTTGACAATTTTGGTTTGGCTTATTCAAAGAGGCATGTTCACACTCCGAATACCCTTGAATGCTTCAACTTGTATTATCAACCCACAGTTTCCTCTTTAGAGCAAATTTTTTTTCTCGCGTTTTATAAGTTTGGATGTTAATAATAGCAATGGTGACTATGTACAGTCAGGCCTGACATTCGCATTAGTTTGATCTGGTCCAACAAGTGATGATTTTTATGTACAAGGGACTGGGCCTATTGTTTTTCTATCACTCATGGTCATCTCGTATCAAATGAGCCTAATCCGGATAGGACCGCATCGGGATTGGGCCTGATCTCTTCCTCATTCAGTCCCGTTCTCCTATTTGAGCCAAGGACGATTTTTGGCCCTAACAATACTACTTTCTACTATAAAATATGATAGGTTTACAACAAAAATAAATAGAAAATATTATATATTAATCATATTAGTACGATTAGATAATGAGTCCTAGATAATATATGTTTAGATAATTTGAATTTCATTTTTAAATGTATAACAATAACATATATGATAGTAGTAATTTTTATTATTTGATGTCGAACAAATCCCATTAATATAAAGCAATAGAATGGTGCAAACGTGCCTTGGCTCATGCACTCAATATCTCAAATCCTCAAGCGAGCCTAAAAGTGTAATAAAAAATATAAATATAATGAGCTTTCTGGGCATAATAATTTATATTTTATCCTTCAATAAAATAACAAAATCATCTCCTTTATTTAATTTATTTTTCTCCTTACAAAAAAGTTGAGATCTCGTCATAAACTATGGAATAATTTAAATTAGCTGAATAGCAGAAGTCCTTGTAAGGTAGGACTTATGTTGAGAATCTATCGTACACCATAATATTTGATTTGGCAAGAATTTTGAAGTCTAAAATGATTTAAATTTTGTTGATTATTGCATCAACGTTTAGATTGTGTAAAGAAGAATTTAAGGTGGACAGCTGTATGTACGCGCCCTTCTTGTCAAAACAATCTTATTTGAGGCGATATTTCCGATGTTAATTATAAGGGCGAAGAACGAGTTCCCACCCAAGTTTGGCCTAATGAACGTGCCTACCTGAAAAGTTTCAAAACGACAGTTTCCCACCAATCCATCCATTTTTTCCGTTAATTTCAACTGCAGAAGGACATAATGGTAAATTCAGTTTATTTTAATTTTTTTCTTTTAAAAAAATTTGATAACCTGCCGCCGGCCACCAACTGCTGCTGGCCACTATCCCATCCTCTTCCATAACCTCCGTAACCACCACAAGCAACTCTACCATTTCAGGGACATAGGTCTTCAGAGCATCAAAAGTGCACCCCACCAGCTCCTGAGACGCAGACGCTGATATGTTACCTCCAATGCCTCCACTTCCCTCACAATGCGCAAGTGGCTCCGGTTTTTAGTACCCTTGAGTGCATCTTTCTCCAGCAAGTGGGAGGCCTAACATGATATTGGAGTCTCATAAACAGAACCACAATCAAGATGTATCCCTATGGAGGCTGCTGGGTTCAAATTAATTAGACGGATAACACTCTTTAAAATAGCAAACAACCAAATAAAAACAAGACAGTAAATCACTTCCAAATGGCAATTAAGAGTTGAATAAAACAAAGCATCAAAACGTTGCTGTAACCTACACATACAGCTGATGTTGCCGAGGCAATTCTGATTCCATTGTTAAGAGTTGTAACCTTAGCCTTTCCTGGTTCAACATAATTAGGCAATACTGGTGGAAGGGAAACACCTTCAAGTACTGTGTCCAAATATAAGAAAAAGTAGGAAAGATAAGAAGAGAAGAAAAGGAAAAGAAGAGAGAAAAAGAAGGAAGAAAAGAAAAGAGAAGGGGAAGAGAGAAAACGGCCTGGTGCGACTGAGAGAGGAAAGAGAAGAGAAGAAAAAGAAAGAAGAAAGAAGGAAAGAGAAGGAGAAAAAAATTAAGGTTTATGTTTTTCACATAAAATGACGTAATTATCCTTTAATTATTGTTTGAAATTATTATTCAGTCCTTCTACAGTTGAAGTTAACGGAAAATTGGTTGGATGGGTGTGAAACAGTCATTTTGAAACTTTTTAGGCGGAAACTTGTCCTTAGGCCAAACCTTGGGTGAGGACTTGTCGTTCGCCCTAATTATAATGATCAAAACACGAGTATGACCTGTAAGTGTAACGCATGGTAAATATGCTTATAATTGTTCTTACCTAGCACTACAAAAAATTAATTCATAAAAATAACTGAGTAAACAAATTAAATAATATTAAACCAATTTAAAATACAAGATGAATTTTGGTACCATAGCGACTCTTTAATGGTCCGATTTTTTATTTAAAAAAGACGAGGAGAATCTTAAGAAAATTTGTCCGATTTTACAATAATAAATCACATATTTGCTTGTATACAGTATATTATAGATTAAAATAATTAGAACATCTTTAAAGTATTCTTTATATGATCAAAATTCTTTATTATAAACAATCTATTAATAAAAATAAAAGTCGAACATACTCTTTATTTTTAAAATATTGATTAGAGAGTGAGTTTGACTCTTCATATTTAGAGAGTTAAATTTCACTCTCTATCATAATTTTAATTAATAAACTACAAGTTCCTATGTATTTTATTTATTAATTCTCATTTTCATTAAGTCTCTTTCTTAAAAATAAAGAATATTTTCATTAAATTTAAAGAGTATTAAATTTAAATAAAAATTATATTTTTTATATTTAAAAATTAATAAAAATACTATTGATTTACGCAATGCTTATCATTCAAATAAAGAGAAGAGATGCTCTAAAAAGACCGTATACAAAGTTCCCATCTGATTAATATAATAATGAAAAGAGGTGGTTAATGTTAGGCGAAACACAAAATAATTACGCTCAATCAAGTTTAAACTAAAGAATTGGGAATCTAATCCCTCACCCAATACATTACCTGCTCAACAAATACCAATTTCCCATCAGAAAAATTAAAACCGAACCCGTTCACAACAAAAATGGCACTCTCGTTCTGCTCCGCCAAATCGCTCCCGCTCCTACTACTCATCTCAGCCATTCCCGTGGCATATATCATCTCTCTGGAGCGAACCAAACCTGCCACTCATGTCTACCACTACCACAGCTCCGGCTACATGCGCGAGTGCGCCAAGTGGGATCAATCCAACCGTCGATTTCTCGTCTCCTTTATGGGTGGAGGAATAGGTCAGGTCTCCGTACCCGAAGATTACTTGCCCGACACTGTTCTAGATGAACTGACGGTTGTCAAAGAAGCTGACTTGTCCGGTAATGCATCACTGGGGATCGCCGTGGACCAGCCTAGGAATCGCCTCCTTGTGGTGGTTGCAGATCTTTTGAGGAACAAGTATAATGGGCTGGCTGCTTATGATTTGTCCACATGGAAACGTTTGTTTCTCACCCAACTCACTGGCCCAAGTAAGTTTTCAACGAGTTTATTCAACATTGGCACATCAAAATAAAAATTGTTCTGCCACGTGCATCAGTCATACTGTTAGACAAAAGATGATAAGATTATTTATTGGTAAATATATAATTTTATTTATTACTTTTTTATTTCTATAGTGTTGGATGCATTCATCAAAGCCGTTTATTTTTTAAATAACTGAGTCACTTTGTGATTAACGTCTTATCACAGTACTCCTATCAGGCGGCTGTTCTTTTTTCGCTTGTAGATGAAGTAATTTTTAATTTTGGTAATTTTATAATAATTCCATTTTTAATATCTTAACATATGGTGATTTTTAACAATTTTAGCATTTAAAAAAAAAAAAGAATAATAAATTTTAATCTTTGTAAATATATAAAAAAGATTTTAAATTTTATGAACAATAAACATTTTTGTTATGGTGCATCAAAGAAGTACATTTTAATAATTTAATTTGGTTATTTTATAATATTTTGACTCTTAATATGGAAAAAGAGTAAAATTAATTTTAATTTCTTAATACTTTTACAACTGTTGAAAAGAAGGATTGATTTTTTATTATTTTTAATTTTTAAAATTTTATAAATGTGTACAATGAAATACTATTGCAATTGTTTTCATTTTTATTTTTTAATCTTTGAGTTTGACGGCGACTGATTTTGATGCAGGTGATGAGAAATCTTTCGCGGATGATGTAGCAGTTGACATAGAAGGCAATGCATATGTTACGGATGCCAAAGCCAGTAAAATTTGGAAGGTAGGAGTGGAGGGTGAGCTGCTATCCATCATTAGAAGCCCTCTGTTTACTGCAAAAGAGTGGTACAAAAACTTGGTTGGCCTAAATGGGATTGTTTACCATCCAGATGGGTTTTTGATTGTCATTCATACATTTACTGGGAATTTGTTTAAGATTGAAATTGCCAAAGGAGAGGAAATTAAATTAATTAAAGTAGATGGAGGACCCTTGTCATTTGGAGATGGTTTAGAGCTACTGTCTCCAACGAAGCTTGTAGTTGCAGGAAATCCTTCGGCAAGATTGGTGGAGAGCTCTGATGGGTGGGAGACGGCATCTGTGGTGGCGAAATTTAGCGGGCCTGCTCATCGTTTGGCCACAGCTGCAACTGTTAAAGACGGAAGGGTGTACCTCAATCACATGTTTGGGTTGGGATATCCCAAGAAGAAGCATGTCCTAGTCGAAGCTGTTTTCTAAAACCTGGAAATATATATATAATATAAGCTCCTTCACATATATCGTCAAAACTGTTGTGTAGCTAAATTATGTTTGCTTTCTTCCTTTTTAATTTGTGTTGTACCAGTACTACGGAAAACAATAAATAGTTTTGAAATAGTTTTCCTGATATATGGTATTCTTGGTTGGGATTAAGCTCTTTATTGGCTTAGATGTTTCGTGTCTCTATTTTGAGTAATGTTACAGTTATCGAAGTAGTATATTAAATTTATACACTGAATGAGATGGTAAAATTCTGACCATTGATTAATATTAAGTTAAAATTAATCAACGGTCAGGATTTTATTACGTCATTCGGGTGACTGTATTATTTTCCCTTTATTTTGCCCCTTCCAACTATTTAAAGGAGAACGGTCGCTCTCGTCATTACTACATTGTGAGTTTGTTTTATTATTTTGAGTAATATTTTTGAAATATTATTGGTAGGTAGAATTGGATGATTATTACGAGGTAGAATTTAAAAATTAATTAAAAAAACCCTTAGGTTTGCTAATTGGACTTAACACCCCAATATATAAAATTTTTGTAAAATGACAAAAACACTTCCACCACACACAATTGCTAGATTTCGGCCACCATCTCTGGAATCTGGCCGAAATTTGGCGTTACGACGCACCACCGACTGGATCTGGCTGGTCGTGAGCCGAGATGGTCTTTTCCAGCAAGATCTACCATGGATATAGCCAGAAAAGGCCAGATTTGGACGTGTTGACGACCATGTCTTGGCCATCATTAAAGACCAGCTACGGTCAAATATTTGGCTGTAGATCTGACCTTTTCCGGCTAGATCCATGGTGGATTTGGTCAGTAAATGATAGATCGGTGCATTACCGGTCAGATCCAGGCGGTGGTGCACCATTATACCAAATTCTGACGGTGCTGGTCTAAATCTGGTAAATATGGGTGAGTGGGTGTGTTTTTGTCAATTTTTAAACTTTTTTTGGGAGATGTTTAGTTAAATAAATAAACTTAGGGTTTAAAATTGTTAAATAAAATATAATAATATTTTCAAAATAGATAAACAAAGTGTATTTTGGAAATAGTATTAATAGGGATGGAAAAAATAATTAAACAAACGGATTACACGAGGCAGTCATTAATAAAGTAAATTACTTTTATTCTCCAATAAAAAAGAGAACTCCAGATGAGCATTTCGCTGACCTTAGAATTAAATAAATGCTTTATATTAAGGATTTATGGGAAAAGTTTTTTAAAGTATTTAATGACTTTCTCTAACAAGATTATGTGAGATTTTGAAACATAACTTCTTCTCATTCATTTTTGCTAGTTTATAGTATGCGTTATTGAATATAGAGATTTGAGATTATATGATAGTGAACTAACATTTGTATGCTATGTTTGATATTCTAGAAATCTATATACTGGTTACTAGTTGTCAATATGAACATATATTTTGCTGTCAATACTAAAATTGGGGAACAAATTTTGATATTAGATAACATATTAGGCATCAATCTTGTTGATGTGTGATTTTTATACCAACGACACGCATGTTCAAAATATTAAGAGAGTCTTACAAATTACATGTGAAATGATTATGAGAGTTGATTATAGGGTTGAGATGATATATGTTTGAAGAAATATAAATAAAAGATTGACAAGAGAGATTTTTATAGTAGTTTAGATGCTTAAAATGATTCATACATCCATTGTTATTTTTTTATTTTTTAATTATTTTTCTGATATCTCCTGTAAGGCGTATAAAGATGGAGTAATCATTTCTTTACAGAAAAAAATAATGGTTGAATCTCAAATGTATGCTCAGCTCTTATATGCCCAATCTCTTTATTTAATGAAGAGAGTTGTTAATTTATACACCTTTGAACTTAATGTAATGAATGTTTTTGAAAGTTGTCTTGACACATGAAAAACTTTTATTCAGTTTTATCTTTTATTTTGATAAGTTTTGACAACTAATACCTTTAAATGCTTGTTGAACTCTGATTGGTGACGTTGACATCAATAACAAATATGGTAAGACTTTATTAGATTTTTAGATATCTAAGTTGAATAAAATTGAAAACTATATACTATAAATTTTCTCTGATTTATAACAAAACAGTATTGTGTCAGATACATTGAATTCCTAAGGCATATATGTTAATAATGAAAATTAATAATTATATAATATCACTCTGTCAATACAATAAATTTGTCATTTGCCTGCATAGACAAGTGAGAGTGCTGTGCATATATGGCGTTCTCACTTTGCTCCACCAAATCACTCATGCTACTTCTCCTCATCTCAGCCATTCCCTTCGCTTACATCATCTCTCTGGAGCGAACCAAATTTGCCACTCATGTGTACCAATACCACAGCTCTGGCTTCATGCGTGAGTGCGCCAAGTGGGATCAATCCCACCGCCGATTCCTCGTTTCCTTTTTGGGTGGAGGAGTCGGTCAGGTATCAGTACCCCGTGATTACTTACCCCAAACTGTTCTAAATGAAGTCACGGTGGTCAAAGATGTTGACTTAGCCGGCAATGCGTCACTTGGCATTGTCCTTGACCACCCTAGGAATCGCCTTCTTGTGGTGGTTTCAGACCTTTTCTGGAATAAATACAGTGCACTCGCAGCTTATGATCTGTCCACGTGGAAACGTTTGTTTCTCACCCAACTCAGTGGGCCAAGTAAGTTTACAACATCGACATTACTGAATATTTTATTTCTTTGGTGATGAATGTTTTTCTTGCTACTGATACATTAATCTGAGCCGTATGATTAATTGTAGGCAACTCTTAAAATGAATCGCGATTTGGAAGTTGTTATGGTTGACCTTGCGTTATGCTATGCTTATCTAAAAATGAATTGTTCACTCAACTCTTAAAATGAATCGTGATTTGGAAGTTGCTCTGTTCTCATTGATGTTGCATTATTCTATATTTTATTTTTTAATGTTTTAATTTTTATCTCGTAAGTAATTTATTATTATTTGTTGGTGCAGGTGATGAGAAATCATTGGCGGACGATGCAGCAGTTGATGAAGAAGGCAATGCATATGTTACTGATGCCAAAGCCAGTAAAATTTGGAAGGTAGGAGTGAATGGGGAGTTTGTATCCATCATTAGAAGCCCACTGTTTATTGCAAAAGATTGGTACAAAAACTTGGTTGGGCTGAATGGAATAGTTTACCATCCAAATGGGTTCTTGATAGTAATTCATACATTTAGTGGGAATTTGTTTAAGATTGAGACTGGGAAGGGAGAGGAAATTAAGTTAATTAAGGTAGAGGGAGGGCCATTGTCATTTGGAGATGGTATGGAGCTACTGTCTCCAACGAAGCTTGTAGTAGCAGGGAATCATCCTTCAGCAAGATTGGTGGAGAGCTCTGATGGGTGGGAGACGGCTTCTGTGGTGGCAAAATTTAGTGGGCCTGCTCATCGCTTGGCCTCAGCGGCAACCGTGAAAGACGGACAGGTGTATCTCAACCACATTATTGGCGTGGGATATCCCAAGAAGCATCTCCTCGTCCAGGCTGTTTTCTAGAACCTCAAAATCTCCATGTATTATCGAACTTCGGTGCTGCTAAATTATGTTGCACTCTGGGGTTTTTATTGTGTTGTATTTGTATCACTGGAAAACTCTAAATAGTTTTGGTAGATAATGGCGCATTTTTCTGATAAATGGTATTTTTAAATCAAGTCAAGACATAGAGTAATTAAGTGAATTTAAATCAAGGAATAACCAACAGTTTTTATGCAAAAGAAATGGTCCAGAGTATGATGATATGTTTTATTATCCACAATAATATCTTAGTACCGTGAAAGTTTACTAAAGCTAAATTCCCAAGCGCTTTATTCTTTCAACAGAGAAACAATAAAAAAAAAAAAGAGAGAGAAGAGACTAAAGTAAAAATTGTGGGTGAAAATATGTAGTAACTTCGCACTTTCACCTGAATGACAGATAATATTGGATTTGGTAACTGAAAATGTCCACAATGTCAGGCCACTTTCCCCTCCCTTGAAAAACCAGAAACCACTCTTCATAATCACCAAGTCTTCTCTGCGCTGTCAACGTCTTGAATTAATTATCATCACCATTTAACATCTCCTATACATATGCATGTATGTCTACCAAATCTCAACCAACTGACTTTGACTTTTAATTCAAGTATTCCACTGTCCTTCACTTTCACATCCAAGTTAAGAGTAGTAAGCATCAAATGGAGAGGCAAAGAAGTTTCTCTTTGAAATCCACCAGATTCTTAGTCTTTTCTTTAACAATCTCTTCTTCTTTAATCTTTTTAACACTCTTCTCTATCTGGGTCATCAAATCTACCCCTTCCATTCACCAAGAAACCCATTTTCACTTGAACCAACTCGCCCTTAATCTAAGTCCCAAACCTGTAACTTTAGAGACATTGACGGGTTTCAGTAAAAATTCCTCATCTAAAAATGTGAAAGACTTATTCCTCATCGATGCCCTAAATAAACCTGAAAATTCTACATTGTTTTCACCACCCCCGGATGAAGCTTACAAAGCTGATGATCTAGATGATAACAGTTATTCAACTACAGGTCAAGAGAGTGCACCGGCACCTTCGCTCGAGGAAGTTGAAGTTCACAGCAATGAGAGAATTGAAGAGAAGAAGATTGAAGCGGCTTCAACTCAGAAAATTGAGCGTCCCAACGATGAGCAGATTACAAAGAAGAAGATTGAAGCTCCTTCAGTTGAGAAAATTGAGGTTACCAGTAATGAGCAGATAAAAAAGAAGAAGAGTGGAGCAGCTTCAGCTAAAAAAATTGAAGTTACAAGGGATAAGAGGATTGAAGAGAAGAGGCTAAGAAATTGTGATATTACAAAAGGGAGGTGGGTTTACGATGAGAGCTATCCTTTGTACACAAATGCTTCATGTCCTCTTATAGATGAAGGTTTCAATTGTATGAGCAATGGAAGACTGGATAAAGATTACATGAAGTGGAAATGGCAGCCTCAAGATTGTGACATCCCAAGGTATTTCTTTTCAAATTTAAGTTATTTGTTTTGGAATTGCAATTTTTTGTCTTAAGTATGCAATGATGAGACCAGGCTTTTTTAGTTGATTGAGACTCAGCTTAGGTTAGAAAATGAAGCATGATATGTTGATGAATGATTTTCGCATGGTGTAATCATGTCATGAAATGTATAGGTTCAATGCTACCAAAATGCTGGACTTGATCCGAGGGAAAAGGCTGATTTTTGTTGGAGATTCACTAAATAGGAATCAATGGGAATCTATGCTGTGTATGTTAATGGGAGCTGTTAGAGACCCAAAGAAGGTCTATGAGACCCATGGACGAAGAATCACCAAAGAGAAGGGAGATTATAGTTTCAAATTTGTGGTAATTACACAAAGATGATGTTTTTGTTTGAATTTTGAAGTGAGATATATAGTGCAAAGTATTTAATTTTTGGTCTTGTTTATGTAGGATTATAAATGCACTGTTGAATATTATGCGAGCCATTTTTTAGTTCACGAGAGCAAGGCAAGAGTAGGGCAGAAGCGGGTGCAAACCTTGAGAATTGATTCTATTGATCGTGGCTCATCAAGATGGAGAGGAGCTGATATTTTGATATTCAACACTGCACATTGGTGGACCCATTACAAAACAAAAGCCGGGTTAGAACCATTCAAGCCTTAAATCCTACCATTGTTTGACTCAAATGTTAAATGTATTCAATTCTTTCTGTGTTTGATACAAGCTATGAAGTTCAGTTTAGACCTTAGTTCTTGAAAAAGCTCATATACTTGTCCTCTTAAATTATTTCTGTATGCATTAGGAGTCAATGGGCGGTTTGAATATTATGTGCCTCTCTATGAACTTACCTCTCATAAGTTTGGTGCCTCTGTAACAGGATTAACTATTACCAGGAAGGAAATCTAGTCCATCCCCAGCTTGACGTTTCTGCAGCCTTTAGAAGAGCATTGATGACTTGGGCATCATGGGTTGATAAACGCATCAATCCAAAGAAAACCCGAGTTTTCTTTCGAAATTCTGCACCTTCACATTTCAGGTTTCCCTTTACCATTCAAAATATTGTCTTTAGTATCATCATATCATTTGCTGAGTAGTATTTGTTCCATAATACACAGGGGAGGTCAATGGAATTCAGGTGGTCATTGTAGGGAAGCTACTCAACCACTTAATGGAACCTCAAGCTTTATCTACCCTGACAAGAATGGAATGGTAGAGGAGATCGTAAAGCAGATGAAAACACCTGTAACTCTCTTGAATATAACCAGATTGTCTGACTACAGGATAGATGGTCATCCATCAATGTATGGAATAAAACCAGGGAGTCGCTACTCTTCTAACATTCAGGATTGTAGCCATTGGTGTCTTCCAGGTGTTCCTGATACATGGAATGAATTGTTGTACTTTCATTTGCTGCCCAAGAAGGAGTATAATCTTCTATGAAACAGGTTTGTGCTTCTCAGCTATATATTCTTTCAATGTTTTATTCCTATTGATATTGTAGGCAGAACGTAAAATCTAATCGTCCTGGTTTTTTCTATGGAAAATGTAAATCATATATTTCAACGAGTATCCATTTTTTTGGACCAAGAGAAAATAACCCATGTGCTGGTCTTATATCTCACATATGCATGTGTACATCATAAATCAAATGGCAAAAAGCATAAGCTTGAAGACGCTTATAGCCTATAGGGTGACAACACGTTTCAGGCTTACTTACTGATTCCAGTGGTTTATGATAGCAATGGCATGGAAAAACATATAATTACTATCATCAAAAAAAAAGAGTTTAAATTATGAAAATGATACATCATGGACTCCTCTCCCAACAACATTGTTCAATGTCTATAATGATTGCCTATTGTATTGTAAAGTACGGCTAGAAAATTTTCCAGACTACAAATATGTTTTGACTTGTTACCCAATCTATTTTATTGTTTGACCCACATAATCTATAAGGCAAATTGGGCATCTACATACATTAATGCCGACATGTATATTTTAACATGTATATTATTGTTCATGAAGACGCAGTTCTTGCAAATAGGTGAAATGGCATTATTGGAAAATGATCCAAATGTACATTGTGCATGTGCATCAATGTGACTGATGTTTCTTGGCTCTGCCTTGGGACACAGATGAATCATCTCGCTTCGAACCCTCAGGTTTCCGAGCCCACACAGGGGCTTGGTCTGGCCCATAACGATAGTCATAAAAAAGTTCCTCACTAGCTTCAATATGCTCCTTGGCAAATATGCCCACGCGATGATCTCCAGCTACCAGCATCACCTGTGCAGTAAATATATTAGCTTAACCTACGATTAACTTGAAAGGTAATTAATGCAACTTTTATACCTTGGCATAGCAGTTTGGATTTGATGAGTGGTTTGCAAATTTAAGCTTATCTCCTTTGCGATAAGCATCGAGGACAAACTGCAAAGAATCAAATGGAAGACTTTAGATCTCAGACTCCAAAAGTCCAACAATAAAAGACGATGGTGGTGCGGTGGCTATGTAGACACAAGGCACGTGAATTAAGTTAATTGCTATTCTCCAACATCGTATAAACATCACCATAATGATTTGAATGCTACAAAACCGCTGCCTTTTGGATGAGGAAATTAGTAATATTGAAGAATTGCATTTTCGATTATATATTTGTCACACCATTGTCCGCATCGTCACTTGCCTGATCATTCAAGTCAAAAAGGAATGATGAATTTGCACGATCATAAATTTTCCCACGTTTGTCTGCTTCTCGATGGGAGATCAATTCACCAGTATATTCTCCAAGATAATCATTTTTGTTGACCGAATTCTGAAATCACATCATCTAGTTCATTTACCAGATTAGCAAAGAACTATAGGAAAATATGATACGATAAAGTATATTTTACCTTTAGAAAGGCTCCCCATCCAGCAACATCAGACTTTGCCAAGAGAATCTGAAAAAGAGGAAACAAAAAAAAGGTATGACAACTTGTATATTCAAGATTGTTTTAACTTCCTACAGTACCACTTTGATGAGTAAAAACATTCTGCATTGTTCACCCTCTGTTGTTGCCTTAGTAGGAGCCTCATGTTTCCACATTGACCGTCACCTCGTTTCAGTGGCTCACCCAATGAACCATCTCCACAACTGTACAAAGCATGTTAATTTTACAGAAATGCTAAAGATGGAATGTAATAACAGCACTTATCCAGTCGGGCATGCAATATTTTAGAACATCCATCAAAGCTCAATTACAAAAGACAGCCACTTCAGGCCTTGAATAATTGGAATAACCTGAGTGCCAACCATAATCCAAATAAAAATAAAAAATCCAAGTATTTTTTCCTCAGAGAACTCTTAAGCATAATAATATAATCCCGTGTTAATGAGAATTCTTCATGTTGTCTATAAAGGATGCACCCCAGCCCCTGCATCTCACAAAGAGCATTGGCTGCATTCGTTTCTAATAGTTCCTTGTTCTTACTTAAAGGTGATCAATCGTACAAGGTTGCATGTTCTAATTGCCTGATAATCTGTATGCAGATTTCCACTTTATCCAGGTCTAGCTAGATGAGCAACATTAACTTTAATCTGTGCATCCTAGAAAGCTATTTCATTTCTATGAATTCTAAAGGGTCTTGTTCTCTTAGATTAGTGCCATAAGAAGCAGGCACTGTCAACTTATCACAACAAAGTTCTAACGCTAAATTGAAATCATCGTTGTAACAAGGAAAATCTAACAATGAAGACAGACTTATATCATTATACAGTATCAATGAGTTATGACATAGTGTCTGAAATTAAAAGCAACAAAGGCACACAGAACTCGTTACCTAACCCAGCAATTCCGACAAACATCTGGGTCACATTCACGTCCAGCAGCAAAACATGGGCATTGCCTGCTTCTGCATTGACTCTTTGCACAGTGGCATCCCCTAAACCGATTTTTGCAACTCTTTGAGCACCTGAAAAAGTAATAAACACTTGTGTCAATTGAAGTTAAGACAATATAGTATATATATAGACACACATAAATAGATGGAGCAAACATCCACTTAATGAAGTTCTATTTGGAATCAATAGCAAAATACAAAGTTTTACTGACTACCAAACTAGATTCAAGAACTCAATTGATAAATAAAACTCAACCAGCTTCCATACAACCAATTGATCAGCAATAGGATACTGCTCCACAGTTACAAGGATATGGTTGACATATTTAACAATTTACCTGGGATGAATTTTCATCATAAGAGGCATGATGCATCCCAGCCTATTTCTATTGACCATGATGCCACAAAACCTTATGGATGCACACAGGCTTTCCAACATCATTTATCATTTATCATTTACCTTATTCAACAATTCAACATACCCGCAATATTTCTCACAGCAAGTTCCGTTATGCAAGCAAGGGCATTGCTTTCCACACATAGATTGGCATCCACAAGGTGTATATTGCTTACAAGACTGATTTTTACCATCTGCAATTCTTTTCCAAATTGATGGATGACCAGCAGATTTCCAAGAATATTTAAGCTTCCGTGTTCTGCCCCTTCTACGAAGTAATCTTGGTCTTGTTGGCATCTCTTGCTCCTTAAACAACAGTAGAAAAGAAGGCTCTAAAATGCATTAGCAAGCAAATAGAGAGATTAAGTAAAAAAGGTATAACAGCACATACTGTACAATCTGAATCAGCTTTCCGATTTTCTTCCAAAAATGAGCTTGCTGCAACTGATTTGTGAGGCATTGATGAACCACCTTCACGCATATAACTTGATACTTCTATGCAAGTCTTCAACCCAGAAAGCAAGTTCCTGGCTATAAGGCAACTGCAAATACAATAAACATGAAACTATTAAAAAAATCTAAAAGGTGCAAATAAAACTATATTAAAACTTCTCAAGTATAGCATTTTCATTATGCCAAACAGAATGTTAGATGCACCTGTTTCTACCAAATATCTCCACTCCCTTCAAATACAGTTCCTTCTCGATAGGTTTCCACTCAGAGCTGCTGAAAACTCCTTCAGATACATCTACTTTCGAAGATGCCTGCTTCAATTCAGGCTCATTCTTGACATCTTTGGCTTCACCCCTAATATTCAGCTCGATCTTATCATGCAGAGCACTACTGGAACTAGCAAATTTCTCTGACCCACATTCAATTGATTCACTTTGTGAATCTTTGGTGATCATTTGAAGATCGCCTTCACTGGAAGCACCAATATGACAACCACTGTCCACATCCATGCTAGCTATAGCATCACTGGATGCAGTAATTACATCCAGAGGCAATAGTTTCTTTTGCTTTTTACTTGAAGAATTCTGAAGATCATCAGAAACTTGTATCAATTCATTCAACACTACATTTGTTGGTTGTAAGGCCTTGCGCTTTCCCAGACTTTGCATGGCATATGTATCTGTAGTCAGAGCTCTAATACCAACTACTGAGCTATGAACAGCCTCTGAAGTAACAGATGAAACTTTTTCAGAATTACTTCTTCCATCTAGAATGAGGTCTGTATCGTTATCAGTACCTGGCTCTTCAGCATCAGGGGGCACTGCAGTTCCTTCTTTGGTGTCTTTCATTCTATCTGAAACATCAATAGTTGAACCTTCTAGCACATCTTGAACAGTTCTTAACTGCAAGGTATTCATGCAGAATCAGACTTCACAAATTGTAAGGTGGCTCCAATCCGGAAATAAAATATGAAGAGTACATTATAAAACTGTTAGCAAGTCCTTAAGGCATGCATGAGCAGAACCCCGTGTTAAAAGAGAGAAAAAAATATACCTGGAGGTAACAATGATCACTGCAAGGTTTCCTATCATCTTCATATTCAGACCAATATGACTGCTTTTCACACTGTCAAAAGAAGCAGTCCAGAGATAAGCTAATCTATGTAACCAAATGTCGTTGTAGAAAAATGAAAAGCACATCTACTTACAGGATCAATTAAAGTTTGGGAACATCCATGAAGACGGCAGTCAAATAACTGTTGGATAGATACAACCAGATAAGTATTGTGTAGAAGCAATTCAAAGGGTTATATCAAATACAGTCATACCAAGCAACGACGACAAAAAAGGTTATCAAAAGAATCCAAAGCAGCACTAAGGGTCTTGTCCAGAGATATGCCCATTTCATATCCAGAATCCGCAGAATCTTTTAAATTTTTGTCATTAAATTTCTCCTTTAAAATGTTGTATCTCTCCTGCAAAGCCCAAACACAATATCTATCTCAGTAATACATAAGATGTTTCCAACATAAATAATTTGCAAACAAGTAGGAAATGCTGATGATATTCCAAAAGAGAAATTAAAACCAAGCAAATTCCAAAACATAACGATCCTATTCCCAATTAATTCAAAATACCTGTATTTCTGAAGTGGCTACCCCAGTGAACTGGCCGACAAGATTAACTACTTCCTCACCTAGCCCATGCTCCTGAAAGGCCATCCTGCCAAATTGATGGTACTCGCTATACTCATTTGGATTATCATGAATAAACAAGCAGGCTGTCACTAAGACCAAATGATAAACATAACCTACGGTCATAGTGCTGCTTCTGCTCTGAACACTTGGAAAAGCAAGCTATATATAAGTTGAGAAAAGTGATAAGTGTTGGTACAATCAAGAGGTAGGTGCTAGCTAGTTTAGCAAGCAGGGTCTTTTGTTGTTGTACAAGAGATCTTTGTCAAATCTCACTCTGCCAATAGTTGTGGCCCTGAAGGGTAAAAAGGGCAGGAAAAAATATAAACCTCAACCAAGAGGTCCAAAAACTATAAGAATGAATGGAAAAAGACGGCAGATTCATCAAACTGACAATCTTTCAAAGTGCCTTTCATTCATTAGTTTGAATCCTTTTAATCATCAGTATGTTCTCTCCACCAAAGAATTTTGAGTTGTGAACAATGCCTAATGCTTGAACTACTCATGCTTACACCTTTTAAGCACCTTAATGCAAAACCAGTTTCATAACAAATGACTGAATTTGTTGATATTGCATCTGACTTTAACATACCATATAATACGATCTTCAGCGTCAGTAAATTCATGTTTCTCCTCCTCAGGTTCTACATTATCTTCCTCACTGTCACTACAGATTAGCGCTTCACTGCCATGTTGGTCATAATAAATACGTCTTCTTCCAACCACAGACTGGTCTTCAGCCATTCTCTGATTTCTGTGCTGTGTAAGGCATATTTCAGATAAGAAGAGCAATTGTA